CCAAATCATTACTGTAAACAGTTCCATGAATGCTCCTATCTCCGAGACTTCACAAAAAAAATAATAACTCTTGCACGCCTTGCGTGCCTATGTTTAAATAGAGTAATGGCCATCAGTGGAGGTTTGACTGACAGCAATCCCTATATGTAGTCATAAATATTCAGGACTGGCACAAACCTTTGTGATGTCATTTTCATCTGCTGCTATGTGCAACCCTGGTGGTGGCTCTTTATACATGCTGGTTATGTCCCTATAGTCAGACAAGACAAGCTATAATTTATGGTATCTAAAAGAAGGTTTAAAGATGGCCAATGTATTCATAGAACTGTATTTCAAAATAGGCTATTCTCGCAAGCATCCAAGGGGGTACCTGCTTATATGGGCTATAGACTGAGTATGTGTGGCCCCAAAAGGTTAAGTATAGTTTTTAAGTGATTTTGGTCTGAAAAAGGGTATACCGGTTGTTTTTGACCATTTTGGTCAACAATAGGGTATGTTTTTCACTCTGGCTTGGCATTGGGTATTTTGTTTTCAAGGAACTTTTTTCCGCATCAACATTGGCAAATTTACATCCCTACTTAAACGTCTAGAAAATGATAGTCATTTCTGGTTAGCTGCAGTCATATATTAGAAAAGTGTACTAATTTTAGAAGTCTGAAATAGGGATGAAAAATCACAGATTTTGGTCTGAAATAGTAGTGCACCCTGAAGAAACTTCTGACTAGACTGCAAGCAGTCTCTCTTTTGCTCAAAAATCTGTGGGGAAGAACACAAGGAAGAACGCAACACAAGAGAGCAGTCATGAGCTTGCGAGCTTGAAATGCGGAGCTGTGAAGCTGCAGGTAAATTGGGTCTCGGAAGACAAGCGAAAAGAGAGACTACAATGGTTTCGTACAGCATTTCTGAAGCCTGACACTCTGGTGACAGGGTAATTCTGTTGCTTGGTCTCCAAAGTCATGACGCACATCCGTCAGTGACCTTTATAAGTGACATGGAGCATATGCCAAACTCTGTTGTAACTTAGTTTGTCTCCTACTGTTCAACTGCTGCGGTTCATGAAATTTGTACATTTGCTGCTCTATTTTGAATTTTGATCTCTCAACCTTTTTATTAGTTCTATACCTTACACTTGCTTTCAAAGGACTGTGGTAGGAGGACCCTAAAGTGGAGTTGAGCCAATTGACTAAGCATTAGGAAATTTTTTTAGAGGTCATGGTTTGGTTTCAGCTGTAATCTGTCATGGTTTTTTGAGTATGACACCTCTATCATTTCTAGATATTACAGCGTATGTTTAAAGCTCTCCATTCGCCCTGTAACAATAGATTCCATAATTACTAAATTAATAGATTCCGATTACTAGCATTTCGTCGACATCAGGTTCGATGAAAACTGTTGCAAGTGATGTCGCTTCTTATCTTGGACACCATGTTTATCTTTGTCTTGCTTAGTGCGAGACCTTGCTAGGTTCCTTAATGGTGCTTTTTGATGGTAAATCTTATGCAAATACTTGCACAACGACAAAACTCAGACACTGACACTGATCGGAATTTGAGTTTTTTGCCCTGAGCAACACAAGCTTTTTTGGCGTTGAACAGTATTATACAACACATCTTATCAGATATAGCCAAGATTGATTCGCAGAAAAACTTAGACACTGGAGTGTCATATTCGAAAATGGGCGGAGGTGTTATTGACACAACTTGTCAAAGAGCATCAGAAAGGTTGTGCAAGACCATTGCAGTCTCTCTTTTCGCTTGTCTTCCAATGCCCGCACTACTCATGGCTCATATGTCACACTCGCAGTCACACTTGCACATTCACTTGTTTTGAATCCTTCCCCATGGATTTTCGAGCAAAAGAGAGACTGCTCGCAGTCTATCTTCTGACCCTCTCATTCCCCTTGTCAATAAACAATAACTGGTCCCTGCTGACAGCTCATGTGTGGGAAACTTTTCAACACTGTCAAGCCTCTCTGGAAAAATAGTACAAACATTACAGCTGTCCCCGTTGTAAAAGCTCATTGCTTGCAAAACGACAAGAGGAAATGCGAAGCCCTAAAGTAAATAATTACTGACAAGCACCCAAAAGGGTCAAAAAGAGAATTTCCAACTTCACAATACCGGGCCAATTCACCCACACGTATCGGAACGCTTTCAAGAACGGGACATGACACAATAAGCACTTTTTTCATTCAATGAGATGCAAATAACTGGCCGAGTATGATTTCCGATCATCGCATCAGTACCACAATCTTCGAACTCGAAAGATCAACGGAGTAAAGACTTCTGGTGGTTTATCGTGAAACAAAAAGCATCTCATACCTCTTGATTCTGAAAAGGCAAAGTGCTGAAAGCCTTCCTGTGGGATGTTTCACCCTCTGCCATGGGGCTTCTGAGGATAACTGCAACCCGGAACTGGCTTCTTCCGCCATCGCCATGTTAAAAGTTTGTATTCATGACGTCATTCATTCCAGACGTAAAACAGAGAAAAGACTGGGAACGACCCAGAGGAGTTACAGCCGGCGACGCCCATTGAGACTGGTTTTAAAACTAGCGACGCAAGCACAAGCGCAAACACAATATTTCACCGTGAAAACGGCCTTGACGCTAACCTGCAGAACAGGCGGAATCTTTTTGCGTATTTTAGGCGAACAGAGGTGAAAGCGAGCCGAGCGCGAGGGAAGAGCGCGAAAAAAACAACGCGTTATTTTTTTCGCGCTATTTCCTCGCGCGCGACTCGCGCTTTGCGTTCGCCTCGCTTTCGCCTCTGTTCGCCTAAAATACGCAAAAAAATTCCACCTGTTCTGCAGGCTACCTTGACACAGGCATAAGCACAAGCACAAGGATTAAAATTTTTCCTTTTACTTGCGCTTGCGCTTATGCTTGCGTTTGGGCTGCAACACGTTGAAAACGAAATACCGCTCAGGCGTAACACAAGCACAGGGATATTTACCACAAGTGGTTATGTTTGGCCAATGAAAACACTGGATCCAGATTAGCTCACGCCTAAACAGTTTTCCAGAATGGCGGATTGCTTTTGCTTGTGTTTGCGTCGAATTTCGTTTTCACTTGGGTCTAATTTTACTTGAAAATGTTTCGCAGTTATCTAGATCGATTGAGTGAATCTGTAGGTATAAAAACTTGCCCCTGCTCAATATACTGTGAATAGAAGAAGAAAAAGAAGAAGAAGAAGAAGAACTTTATTTAACGAGGGTAAAAGCACTTTACAGCTAGCACTGACAAACTAGTGGCCCTCATTACACTATACATAAAATCTAGTAAATAAAATGACTAATGACTAAATACTAGGTAAAGTTGACTTAAGAAATAGAGAAATGGTCGAGCCGTAGTATGTATGAATCCTACATAACTTTGGTTAAAAGCTTAACATTCTTACTTACGTTCAGTTCAGTTGTGCTGCCCATCAAGCTTTTTGTTTTGCGACATTGCGATTGCCGTTGCCGTCGTGTCTTGCGTAAGGTCCTTTATGAGAAACCACGACGACCACGCCGAGGACAACGTCAATTAAAAAACGAATTTATATTCTACCTACGAATCTCGCGATACTCTGAAGTCATTTACTTGCTTTCTATTTGTCAAAACTATCTGGAAACTAAATATGGAACATAACGTTAAATTCGGAAAAGACATTTAAAGCATTAGCTGTCGTGGTTCACGTTCTCCAGACAACGCAGAATTTGGTCATTTCACGTTGTTAGGGAGCTTAAATAAGCAAGGACGGCGACGACAACGACGCCTAGCCAAAATGAATTTATATTTTACTAGCGAAATTCGCAATTATCTAGATCTGTTCAGTACGCCAATGGCTCTAAGAACGTGCTCAGGCTAAATATTCAATGAAAGCATTCAATACCAAATGTGAATACGACATCGTTCACGTTTTTTAGACTGCGCGGGAACTTGGTCATTTCACGTTCTTGTTTTGCGGAGGACGGTGAAGAAATGTACAAAGATTTATAACGCACGTGCACTGCTATTGCTCTACTAATTAAACCTTTTGTTTGGTGACATTCTCGTTGTCGTCGTCGTCGTGGTTTGCTTAAGCTCCCTGTTGTTTTGCAAAGGACGGCAAAGAAATGTACCAAGAATTATAACGCCCGTGCACAACTATTGTTTTGCTCATCAAACCTTTTGTTTAGCAACGTTTCTGTTGTCGTTACCGTTGTGGCTTTCTAAACTCCCTGTTTAGACCAAAAATAACTACAACGTCAGCCAAACCACAATGCTTTATTATCAGTAGACTATTATAATTTGATACTGAGTTTCAATCTTGGATATTCAGTGGAGATAACCGAAAATGAACAGCTACTGCTACTACGGCTACAGCTATTGCCACTGTCACTGCCACTGTTACTGCCACTGCCACTGCCACTGCCACTGCCAATGCCACTGCTACTACTGCTGCTGCTGCTGCTGCTCAGTACTGCCACTGCCACTGCCATTGCTACTGCCACCACAACTGCCAGTGCTACTGCTAGCTACTGCTGCTCTGCTGTTGCTACTACTACTACTACTACTACTACTACTACTACTACTACTACTACTACT